GAAGTCTAATAAAAAGGTTCTCTTGTGAGGTAAGGGATAGATTTTGAGGAACAGAGGAGGGTGTAGATGTGGAACCTTTAAGTTGCCTGGAGCGACAGGTAAAGTGAAGGGTGGGCATCGGGGAAGTGTTAGATATGGGAGTATTGGAATTTGACTGGGGGAGAGGGCATCTCTCCTCTCAATCCTGAACCATCCTACCTCTACTCCAAGACATTGAGAAGATAGGAGGAGCAGAGTGAAGGACAGTTTTGGAATAGAGAGAAAAATATCGGCGTTCCTCCTCTCGCTCTTACGGATGCCTATTATGAATGAGAATGCTATAGGGAGGTTCAAGTTTGTAGGCAGGGAAGTTATTATAAAATGCATTATGGGAGCCACCACAATTGACATACGTGACAGCAGAGCAGCTTCAGCTGTCATGACTAGGTTGGGCACATGGAGGGTAGCGGGCTGGTTGAGTGGCTAAAAAGTAAACATTGTTGACAGTGACGAGGAGGGATCAATATGGTCGGACAGAGCAGAACACAAGTCAAAATTTCATAAAGGTCATATATACGTGAGCTAGTCTTGCAATTTGCGTACTGATTTTTGGAGACATTGGAAAAGAATGGTATCTGAGTAAGGGGTGGGGCTCAAGGAATCCATCCCACTTGGCTGGGCCAAAGTACTCAAAGGGTTTGCATTGGTGGTGGTGGTAGAAAGACGAGGACGGGAGTGAGGTACTGAGGATGGAAAATATTGAGAAAAGGGAAGAGGTGCACTCTGAAGGTTGAGTAATCTGGGTGGGTGGTTTGGAAACAGGTGGTGGTATTATTTTAGTGGTCGGAGCCATGGCAAAGAGGCAGGGGTCTGGAAACCAATGAATTCAAATTTATATTGGCTAGTTCATATAGAAAAGTGTTTAATGACTATAAGGGTATATAGTCATTACTGGCCATGGTGAGCCTGAAATTGTAACAAATTGATCAAAGGTATACTGTGCCCATTTCTACCGGAGGCCGCTCACCAGGGCTCTCACACCATATGAACTGGAGTGAAGGGGATGAGAAAGGAAAGTGGTAGAAGTAAACACCATCCAAAATTAGGTCCAAGGCAGGGGAGGTGCCTTACATATGGCCTCGTCTCAGTCCCGGCTCCCCTCCCACGACAAGCAAAAGAATAGGAAGAGTGGGGGTTAAAGGTTAAAGTAAATTTTGAAAAGGTTCAGTACTAATAAAAAGCACTTTCCTTTGAACTCATGGAACTCAAGATATCGAACTGCAATATGTAAGAAATTTTCATACTGCATCTGATAAAAAAATGGTTAAGCAAAATATGTGCTGGACATTTAAGGTCATACCACTATAGGAAGGTATATTAGTAGTAGTGAAGGGCGATTGTTGCTATGCGTCAACCATCTAGATTAATCTTGAAAGGTTAAAGAGGGGTAAATGATTTGTGTGAATGGGCTATGGTGTCTAGGTAAAGGAACTACATGAAGGATTCATGTATGTATCCTAGAGGGATATAGTGGAAATAGGAGTTGGAGATGGATAATGGCAGTCACTCGAATGTGGCGGGAGCATTTGTGGAATTTTGTCTCGGGCATATAGCGTTGAATATCTTCCATAATATCTCCAGTGGAGTTGGTTGGAGAGTCTTGTGAGACAAAGGTTCTCTCATGAGAAGGGGAAGAGGAGACGTGTCGGAGGAACAAAGAAAGGTATGGAACGTTTAGTCTGATGCAGGGAGGGAGAGGGGACGGTGTTGGGGCTGTAGTTAAGAGTGGCAAAAGAATTTAACGGGAAGGTAGAAGTGGAAGTGGATGGGGGTGTAGGAAATACCTGGGTTGGAGGGGGAGGGCAGAGTGAGCGGCATTTTAGAGTAGGGAGTATGAGAGAGACGTTTCCTGTCTGGCTTCACGTAGCGAGAATTTTTGTATCCGAGTTGCTACCTCAGACTCGGACTTTTACTTTGTAGAGGCTGTCCCATCTACATTATGAGGGTAGCCACAGTTAGCACACGAGCGGGTTTGCGCAGAGCAGTTTGATCTATTATGACCGGGTTTGGCAGTGGGCATCGGTCTGTGGAACGGCAGTGTTTGGCAGGGTGTCCAAAGTGCCAACAGTTTTGACATTGACGGAGGAGGTGGTTGGTATGGTCGAACAGGGAGGGATTGTCTACCAGAATACGAAAGGGAAGGTTTTGTGTACGGAAACTAAATTTTGATTTTAGCAATGTTGGCGGGTTCTTTCGATGACTCACGGTCTTGAGGCAGCCGAGTAAGATATCCATAGGGCAACTTACTGGGGAATGAGAGTTGAATGGGTTGTCAGATATAGCTTCGATTTCATATGTAACGAAACGGGGGGTGTATGGAAGGGACTGCCCACTTGCTTTTGGAGGTTTTGAAAGAAGTGTTGACCAAGCTGTTGGGGGGGGGGGGTTTGTCACGAAAAAACTTCCCCATTTGGTTGGTTTTAATAGTGGATAATGCACTAGTAGGCATTGAGGAATGGGTAGTAGTTGTGTTCAGAGTAGTGGTCAAAGGAGAACCTGGTGTCGGGGAGCCTGGAGAGCTTGAATTGGTGGTGCTATTTTATGAGGGGGCAAGACTTATTGCCTCTTAGTGTGGGGTATTAATCTTAGTTACCGGCCAGGGGAAGCCCTGACTACGTTTGGGAAAAAGTCCACCCATCAGGGTCCCCTTGAGGGGTAATGGCTAAACTAAAACAGAATACCATGCCATGGCTCCCTCAGGCCGTTTAGGACTGGTACATACCAAAGTCAGCTTTTCATCATTTCAGCACCACTTAAACTTTAGGAAGTAGATAGGTATTGTAAAGGGACGGAAACAAAAGAGCTGGATGGAGAAGAGACCATGTAAAATTAGTGGAGTCGGGGACCAAGGCCCAAAGAAGCAGGGTTTCAGTCCCGATTAATGATAATCTGCCAAAAGTTGACTTAGTATGATAGTGGAAAGGGTAAGAGGGAATGACAAACCTTTCCACCCGAGTTATGTCGACTACTATTTGTTAACTATGGGTCAATTTCACTAAGTTTGCAAGACACGGTTTAAGTGGATAAAAATAAAAACCTTAACCAGGTTTATTTGGTTTATTTAGAAGCCAGGTGGTTAAGGAGGAAACTCCCATGTGCAGAATGCTGGATGAAGTTCTATCCAAGATCCGACGACAGACCAATTCCTGTAAGAGAAAGGGTGTTAAATTCATGCAAAATGCATTGTGCCTCTTTGCCCTTATAAAATCATCAGATGGTAGGTGTTCTTCATTACTTTCAGAACAGGATTGTTCAAATAGGCATCATAGTGTAATGAATAAATTTCCAACACGATAACAAGTAATAGTCCTTATTACATCAAAGATTTTAAACCCAAACACTAGTATACATGCATCAGTTCAGTTTTATTTTCAACAAGTCCACAAGCTGAAGTAAATTTTAAAATCTAGATAAACCCTTTAACAGTAACCAGTCCAGTCACCCTTTTTCCTACTTACCTCTGCATAATTTAAAGCAATCAAACTGGGTATCATGCATTAACATGTTCACTGGATACCAATCTGAAAAAATATTTCAATTATTAACAAGTTCAGAGTTACATTATTGTATTCCTTATTCATCCATCTTTCAGAATTGTTAGTGTTCTTCAGACTATTCAGACATCTAAGGAAGGTAACTTAGATTCATCATTTTCATAATTCCATCCACCTTCTCTTCCTCTTCCTTACCTTAAAAGGGGTCACATTTAGTAGTCTGCATCAAATATCGCCACAATCCTACAAAGATATAATGTACTTTTAAACCAAGTTCAGATTTCGCTTCCATCCATTGTCTGGTCATTTATCAGTACATGAAATATCCACATGGTTGTTGAGACAGGGATAACAATCATCATATAAAGCACAAGGCAAGAAATTAATTTTGGGGGAACATACCTTTTGATGGAGAAAAGGTGCACTAAATTCTGACAAGCCTGAAAAAGAAAGGTCTTACATTACAATGCAATAAAAGATTATAATACTTATTTTTTTTCCATGAAAATTTCAGAAACGAGGAATTCACTTTATCCACATTATATTTTGAGGTCCCTTTCAATCATCATGTTCAACCAAACTGAATTTTGACAGGCTTGTGCCAAGAATTACCATTTCTGTAGTCCCTTTCAATGCTTATGCCACTAATGCAGGACCTGGAAAAGAACACTTTATTAAAGTAACCTCCAAAATAGTCTGGAACACTATTCCTACATTTAACATCAGTCCTGTTGAGCATTTGATACCATCAAGGATATTCTGGTCAAGTTTTATCATCAGTAAGTTAAGAGCAGCAACTGCCATACAAAGTTTAAAATCTTTTCAAATGAATATTCTAATTATCAAATTTAGAACCAAATTTCATTTAAAGTATAGCATTTCTAAAACCAAATTTAGGTCATTCTGGGGGGGGGGGGGTAGGAAGACTTGAAAATGGAAAGCTGAATTATTAACTTCCTTTTCTAATAGAATATAATTAAAAATATTTACCTATTAATTCTTTATGTAATTTCGTAGAACAGACTGGCCTTTCCCTCCTTCCAAGACTTCTGTAAAAGAATAGCAATGAGGAGCTATTTGACAAGCAAAGATGTGTGTAAAACCTAAACAGCTTATTTCAGTGGTACGCAGATTGTGTTTTTATCATTTTGTCTATGACAATCGTAAGATGTCCCAAGTTTTGTCATTTGAACATGATACATTACTTGTATAACAATACAGCTGTCCACCTACCTTTAATAGGTCAAGTATAATAGATCTGGCTGACCTGCATCCCTTATTCTGGTATCTGTTAAGGATAAATAAATGCAATTAGGAACAATTTAACAAAAATCTTAACCCCATCTATAATGCCAATTTCAGTGGTACGCAGATTGTGTTTTTATCATTTTGCCTTTGGCAATCGTAAGATGTCCCAAGTTTTGTCATCATTTAAGGATAATTAATATATAAACCAATTATTTTACTTGCCTGATCTATAGTGATGTAAACTAGTCTTCCGACTTGCATGCAACTTGGTTGAGAACAAGCACTCGGTCCCTGCAAGTATAAAGCACAATAAGAATACTTTCTAAAGTAAGCATTTTTTAATTCTTCCAAGAGATTTCAGTAGTACGCAGATTGTGTTTTTATCATTTTGTCTTGGCAATCGTAAGATGTCCCAAGTTTTGTCATCATTGAAAGGATATAATTTGCCATGTTTACCATAACACTATACTGACCTTGTGTAAAGAACTGGCCTCTGAACATTTACACCTTATTCAGGTACAGGTTAAAATTGCACTTGTCTTGTTTATTCCTGAAAAGGTTATGCAATTAGAAATCTCTCCACACAAACTATTAAATGCAATGGATAAAACAAATATCAGTGGTACGCAGATTGTGTTTTTATCATTTTGTCTTGGCAATCGTAAGATGTCCCAAGTTTTGTCATCACTGAAGGGTAGAGAATATTTGCAACAAAACTGTACTTACCTCATGATCCATAGCTATAAATGCTAGCCTCCTGATCTGGTTGCAACTTCCTCAGGTACACGAATACAAAGCCAACTGTTCCTGCAAATACAAGAACACTAAGGAACACTTCAAGTAATAAATTTTACATCTGTTGCCATGGTATTTTCAGTGGTACGCAGATTGTGTTTTTATCATTTTGTCTTAGCAATCGTAAGATGTCCCAAGTTTTGTCAAAAAGTATAAACTAGGTCCTGCACGTTGAAATTTTAAACTTGTGCGATCATGAAATTCTGGTTTTCAAAAAGAATTGTAGTAAACTTGAATACCATTGTTCAATCTTAAAATACTTACTAGTAAGATCCTCAAACAAAGGCTGTGGGAAAGGGACACTTACAAAAGAGCATTCTACACAAGTTTACACCTTGCTTGAGACAGACCTCAAATTTTAATGGCTTGGTCTGTCAAGATTTAACACTACATTCACTAAAGATTCATTCCACGTGCATATATTTATCAAAGACCATATTACCATCCCTTGTGTTAATAAAACTTCAGAATTAATGCCAAGTCATGATTGGAACAATGAACAATTGATTACAAGAAGATCAATGTTATGCTGATGCTCTCATTTTATACGATTTGGGGATACTTTACACCAAGACCAAACCATCACAGTAATGAGAATTACTGCATTAACATTATCAAGCAGATCATGTAACTATAGAACTATGTACCAAGATTATTCCTGCCCGTGCTTCACTATTCCTCCGATCTCTGCCTTCCCTAACACTCCACACCAACCTGGTTTTATTTCAACCAGTGGTAATTACCGAGTGCAAAACCCTTCAGAGACCAAGTTCAAAGTCAGGGTATCGTGCAAACCAAAAACCAAAGCCTATATATTCCAAACCTCTTAGACATGAGGGCAAGCACCCCACCTTGTGCCTCCTTGTTAGCAATTTGTGTTATCTTAAAGTACTACGAACCCTGGCCCTATATGGGTGTTGTGGACAGTGAGCATTGACATGATGCAGTTATCCTTTCGTGGTATCAAGTCTAGTTCAGTTCTGGGAAGATACATGGCCATAAGAAATCTAAGGTACCAATTTTAGGGGGAAATTAGCAGATAAACAATGTTGCTTCATGTGTATAGAACAGGCAGAAGTACACAAAGGGCGATGAAGATGCTCACACATTTACTACTATAGGACCACTGCCTCAATGAGGATCTTAATTTATGGGATAAGTAAACATGTTTATCATACACTATCAAACTTCCCACAGCCTTAAGCAAAGGAATCCATTTTTTTGAAAACCAGTAATTTCAACACAAGACTAATACCTAAAGACCTACAATGCTTCAATCAATAACAGACTTTAAAAGATCCTTACCTGTAAAATCTCCCTCACATATTGGACTCCACTTCCGTGGTCCACTTGCAAGTCTTCCACTCATGGTAAATATGCAAGTACCTCTTCCACCAAACCTGCAATAAAAGAAATAATTGATTATCACCCTAATACTCTCCATTGTCGACTTCTAATAATGTCTTAAAAAGGTAATGTAGACACCCATTAAAGAGGTTGAAGTGAAAAAGAACACCCAACCCTGCAAAAATGTCTGGTTTGTTCTACGATACCACTTAGCACAATACGAGCCTTGATATCTCGCATGAGACTCTGGGATCGAACATTTCGAAATCAAGTATGAGTAGAAACTAATAAAACTAATAAGTAATAAAGTGCAAGATACTGTAATTGTACCGGTAACAAGTGCAACAATAATAAAAGTATAGTTGACTTTAGTAAAATTCAGGTTCTAGAATACTTAGTGGGGAGAGTAAATGCAATTTAAATAGGTTGGATATGGTTTAAAGTCAGGGAACCTAGTCAATAAATATTTCCTAAACCCTCCATGCTCGCCACGTGGGACCAGCATGACTCCTGAATAAAAAAGGAAGACATGCAACATATTTCAAGAAAAAAAAATTCCCGTACCTCCCTAACCCAAATAACTATCTCATCACACATTCAAATAACCAAACAAATTTCAAATAAATAAAATGAACTTACAAGGCGATATATAAGCGTCTGTTGACTCAGCTTGTCTTACTCCCGCAGACGCCGAGGCTGAATGAGGACGAGGAAAGGGAGTCGCCGGCGAAGACAGCGACGAAAAGAAGAATCGCGGGAAGCGCATTCTCAAGATATTTAAGAGAATTAAACTATTTGAACATTTGGAGTGTTATTATAAGTTTTTTTGTTCATAATGTTAGCATTATCGTCAATGTTTTTATCTTATCATCGTTGTTCAACACTCTTTTTACTCTTTTTACTACTTTATTATTCATCTCCTTTGGGTTACATTTGTGATAGAAATCATGAGTGATGCTGATAATGAGGATAATGATATAAATAATAATAAATTATTATGATAATGGTAATTATTTTCATTCATTATTGTCCTTTGTTATTCTAACTGTATATACAACTATGATATGTTCACTGTTCCAGGGAACAGCACTGCCAGACGTATCTGACAGTGATAAACATATCTATATGAAAAAAGTATTTTGGACATAGTAGCAAGAGGTTCGAAGTTAATAATAAAGATGATAGTAAAGATGATAATGGTAAGTGTAATAATAATGCAACAGAATAATAATAATAAAAAATACCGTCAATGATAGTAATGATAATGGAATAACAATTAAAACAATAATACAAGTATAAGTAAATGCAACTATGATATAATACAACGATAATGACAACAATAATAATAAATAATAATACAAAACAACACCAACAGTAATAACATTATAACAGTAACGATATCAACTAACAACAACAATGATAATAGTAGTATAAGAAAAAAATAACAGCAACAATCATGATAACCCTCAATTTGTATTTGCAAAGGCAGCTCAACATTTTGATTTTCTGAATATGTCCGTTTCCAGTGAACCAATTTTTGTTCTATTCAAAACAGCTCTTCTTTAAAGAATATTGAAACAACTACACGTTAACCACATTTCTCCTCATTTCAGATTTCTACTGATAGACTTCATTATAAAATTCAATCAGAAGATCCATAGGCAGGATGCGACGACTGTATAAATTTCTATATGTACAGTGACGAACAAGTGGTGTCATGAATTGAAGCTTCGAATCTGTCTCTCCCTATACAAAAAGTGTGGTAATAAGCGGATGTTCGAAACGGCATTCGAAATTAGTTTGACAAGAGTCTTGGCCGTGGCTGCACATTTCTTATGTCACTCTTAAATAAGTTCTTGAACATTTGAATGAAGAATTTTCTACAAAACAATATTTGAATTTACACGATACAATACAATACAGTCAGAATCGTCATTTCATCTTTTCATGAGTGGTAGGTAGGCGAGAGAAACGGAAAAAAAGAAGAAAAAAAGAACTATTTTAGTACCACTTTTCGGTTTACAGGGAACATAGCCAGACCTTGAAGAGAACAAAAAAAGTCTTAGGGGCAGAACTCCCTCCCAATTGATGCCATGAATACAACACAACAACAAAAAGCAATATGGCAAAAGCATATTCGTATAAAAATGCAAGAATCCTCATTTGCAAGCCGGAAATGGCTAGTATTCCATTTTCAGGCGGCAAAGGGATACGCTAGGGTTCGTGTTGAAACTTTTGGGGTTGACGTTCACACTTTGATATACAAGGTTAGAACGCCTGTAATCACATTGGTTCAAATTCTAAACATATTGGGTGTTCTTTTAACGTCCATTAGAGTCGGTAACTCAAGCCAGTGAATTTTCTCCACTTTCGTGTTTTCAGTTTCAAAAAGTGGAAAAATAACAAATTCAAACCATTTTTGTAGCATATGATATAAAGAAAGTGAAAATACAAAAAAAGGCTTTCTTTTATTTCAGTGTTTAAAGAGAGAAGACATTAAAAAGAATTTACCACTACGGATTCGAACTAGTGTTTTGCGAATTCAAAACGCCTAATTCGCACAACATTCTGATTTCCTGCTTGTGTATCATTTTCAGGTCATTTTATGTAAGTAAAAGATTGGGAAAATAAGCAGTAAAGGTCTTTTGAGTATTTCTCCTTCTGCTATCAGTATTTCACTCCCACATAATGAATATTTATTTCCTTAAGTTACTGCAGCCGAGGAAACACATTATTTAACACCCACGTTTAATACAAATCACGCATTATCTGTATAGCAGACAAATTTCCAAAATTTCGTTGTCCTTTATGCGAACTACAGCTGTTCTTATATGAGTTATTTATTCTTTGCTTCTGTGGTCTTAAATATTGGTTAGCTGGATTTAAATATTATTTTAGCTTGGTTTCCAGCTGCGCGTGATTTTACCATCAACATTTCAAAAGAGCATATAGATACCAAGTATCGCTAGCCAGAAATTCAAACGTTTTTTCCACGAAAATCCCTCATAATCAAATAAAATCAATCCGAAAAGTGATGTTCTTATTCGAATATTGTAGTTATAATACATGGAAACGAAGAAATAAAAGTTTTTACAACGAAAAGATAAATTCACGACCACGTGGTTATGTGCTGTGGTCACGTCTCCAAAGTTAGATCTGCAATTCGTCCACTGGCTCACCCCATTGCACCTAGAACTTGTAATCTTTTGAAGGAACTGACATGATGGATATATGAGTAGACTTTAATTGAAAATAAGTGTAGGACTGTTGTATTCCACAGAGGCATGTAGCTAAGATTGGACCGTAATACTTAAGTCCACATGGAGTGTAGACTCAGCTCAACCATGCATCTCCCTCATGTTGTCATGCGGTGCCTAGAAAAAGCAAATACTAGTATGTCTCATAGGCAAGATAGTAACCCTATATCTGACTGTTTGGGTAATTAAGTACACCGGATTTTTTCACACATATTAAGCAGTAGAATTACCTCATAATGGTTCTCAATCAAGAAAAAAAAATGCAAATGCTGTAAAAATAACATGGCTTTTTGCCTCTCTCCGTTCAGTCCTTTTCAAATTTGCTTTCAATATAACCAAGGGTTTTTTAAATTGGTAATGAAAAAGATGGTTAATAAGAAACTTTATTAAAAGCTTTATTAGACGATTTACCTAAGGGATTTTCCAAATTCAATTACACTACAAAACACTTTAATCGTATCACTCTGACATAGAAATAAATACTCTGTAGAGTCTTTGAAGAGACTCCCATTTG